TTCAATCTGAATGCTGCAATCTGTTTAACAGTTTCTAAATTTCTTTTTTGTGTGTGCTTGTGCATATATTTTGCATTATTATTCCGTCCGAGCTTTGCTAGGAGGGGAGATAGTTATTAACTAAGCACAATAAAATATCGGGATCAAGCAAAACAAAAAAAAAGAAGACTCCCACTGAAATGGAATGGTCCAGCTGAACAAGATAAAGTATCCTTCATCTGTAAACTTACATTGTCAAAAATGGTGGAAAGCAGTTTCTGCATCAGTTCACATCTTGTATCAGTGTCCGCCTTTCTTGCATTTGATAAATTCTCGATTGGTTCACGAAATTCTTCCTTAACTGCTGCCAATAATGTCATTACTTTTTCCTCACATGACAGTCCGTATTCATCATCAACAGAATCACCAGCACCACCTTCGGTTTGTGATAGTTCTGTTGTTGGCGTATCCTCCGTTACTGCTGCACTTGTTTCGCTTGGCGCGGGTTCTACATCTGTTGCTACTACTGCTACTTCTCCAGGATCTGAAAAAAAAAAGTGATTCATAAAAGTTACCTATATTTGAAATAACCAAAAGTCAAAACTCCGTTTTTAACTCAGCCTTTCTTAAAAAAACGAAGAAATAGAAAGGGAAGAAGGGGCCATGGAGATCCGGCCAAGAAGTGATCATTCCAAATAGGAATGTCAACTCAGAAATAGCTTAAGTGAGCGTTTGAACAAAGTAAAAGGCAGTACGAGCCTCAAAGGCCCTGTGAGGGAATGGAAAAGGATAGTAACTAGGGCCAGGAACAGCGGTCTAAAACCAGTCAAAAGGCTAACAGTGATTTTGTCTGGGTAAAACTTCCCTCAGCTTGCTTTTTAATTTCCAGCAGGTACCAAATTAAAATAACACAGGCACCTATTAGTGAACATGCAAAAGTAGCAAGCAGTGCTGCGGTCGTGCAGAGAATCGAAGACTCGACTCTGCCCGTGCGATAACCAGTCCCCTTACGAATACTGACGTGCGTCTGGGAATCAAAACTTCCCTCAGCTTGCTTATAGGCTTCTTTCTAAGAAAGGAACCACTGAACAGCCTTGCAAGTGGATGGTTGCTACTGGCGCTAGCACGTATTCGGGCTGTTCAGACTATTTCTGGAATACTTCCGCACTTCAAGGGGAGTGAATATGCGAGAAAAATGAATTTGGCTTTTAATTGGGAATGTTTAGAAATTAACCTGGAATTACGGGTGGAGCAGGCGGTGGTTGAACTGGTAGCACTGGCCGGAACAGACCTCGAAAAGTATCACGAAAAGCTTCTCGTACACTTTTCTGGAGCACCGGACTATCGGATATTACAAATGGTGACCTGTAAAATTTTATATCACCAACAGTATGATGTGTGCTTGTCGTGTTAGTGATTTTGCTGGGATGTTACCAAATTCAACCATAATTAGCCCAAATTTCTTTTACAAAAAAGTATAAAGAAATTCTCATTCCATCTATTCAACTGAAAAAAACAGATCATTTTTTTTTTCTTTTCATCTCTAGTTTCCCAAAAATTTGCAATATTTTGACTATTGACAAGCATAGGACAAATAAGACTCCTGCAGTAACATTATGAACAAACACTTGGGATGTTGGAAGCAAAATGAAGAAAAAAACAGAAAAATGACGCGCAAAAAAAACGAAATCAAATTAGCCTATAGGCTCATTGCGTCCAGATCAGTGAAAATTTCTGATTTTGCTCTGAGCTAAACAAATAATTTTGGTCCAAATTCAACTAGCACTAGGCCTGTAGCTTGACATTTACTTAGAAAAGAAACTGTCAGAGGTTTTGCAATGTTCGAATTGTAAAAACATACAAAACAAATTGCCTAGGATACTCATTTTACTACAAAATTTTTTCGATACTATTAGTAATTTCGCGTTCCTGTTTTAATATTCTTCGGTAACAGTGTAAATCAATTCTGTGTCATATTTTTCGTCGTTAAAATACAGAGCTTGTTTATATATGTCCCATTTAATGAATAAACATAGGCATGGACAGTTGATGATTGGTCCTAACACGGTTTTATGGTGCGCTCTGTGGATAGGCAGAGAATAATACCGAAGTCAATGGCATGGTTGTAAACTACAAGCACTGGAAAAATTCCTCCTAAATGAATCAGTGCTAAACTCATCATGGCCGTTTAAAATATTAAGTGGTCATTTTTATACGTAAATGCATATTTACATATTTAGTTAGGGAGAAAAAATATGGAGATACAGCGATTGTAGAATCAAAAGAAAAAAAAAATGGATGTACTGCCAGTTGTTGCACCACTGATGACGAAAATAAACAGAACAAAAGCGGTGTGGTTTCTCAAACAATGAGAAAAAGGGGCTGAAATACAGCAAAGAATATAAGACAGAAAACTTGCTAACCCTAAAACATTATGATCGATGAGAAATTTGAACGAATTTGTTACTGAATTCACTAGCCGTTGCTGCAGTGGTGGATGCAATTCGGTACATATCTGAAAATGCAATTCGGTACATATCGTTCGTTTAAAGGCAACAGCAAAACAATACTTCCATTCGAAATTATCATTTGCTCGTTTACTTTTGTACGCAATCACGTTTCGTGTACTCAGAGGATGAATACGGTCCTTTTTCTCCTAAATTTAGAAGGTATTGATACTATTACATTTACTTGAATTTCAAACGAAAACTGCTCCAAATTTAAATCGCTCAAAAAAAGCATGAAATTCGGAAGTCACACGACAATGATATGGCGATTTTCAGGCTTAATTTCATTGAAAACAGCGGATTTCGACGAGAAATGCTTGGTGTCCTAATCTCCTCTTCCTCTCAAGCGTTTATTAGCTATGTGTGTTCAAAACTACCTATTTACTGGCCCACTCTCTTCTCCACAGTTGCCCCCCCTTTTTTCCTCTCCAAAATACATTTGATCGTTAACGTTTGTAAAAAAAAAAGAAAGACTTACTCGGATCATAAAATCAACAACAGAATTAGCAAGCAACGGTTGCACATGCAATAAATGACGCAGTACATGAAACGCGGGCTCTGAAATTCAAAAAAAAAAAAACGATAATCAATTTTTCAATAATCTGCTTCCACTCAATACTTAAAATCGCCTTTACAATTTTGGAATTTTGGAACATCAAAATCAATAAAAAATGAAAGGCCCCCTATTATCTCCGCAGATTCCATCGTAAAACGAATGCCCGTCGGCATGAATTTGTTTTCGCGGCTGTTGTTGACAATGAGTTTGCACATCCTCTACTTTAGGCTTTTATGCAGGGGATCAGTTTTGGAGTATTCCGGGAAGTTACTTCCCCTCGGGAAACTGCTGCTGTTGCACATACTATACCAAACAGCCTGGTTGGAATGGGGAGGGCAAAAAGCGGGATGATACCAGTTGTTACCCAATCCATTAAAGGTTGAAGAGAAAATAATGAAGTAGAAAAAATGAAAAAAGGAGGAAAACGAAGAAAAAGCGAAGTAAGAAGGGGAAAGGGAATAAGGAAATATTTGTAATAGGTAAAAGAAATGTTTGGTCCATTAAGTCGTATACATTTCTTACCGTTACCACAATTGGACCTCGTCTTTGTGCTTGAGAGAAACGTGTTGTGAAACTTACCAATAAGGATATGGCCACCAG